GTCGTTCATTCATGGAAACATGTCGACTTTTGAATGGAACTCATGAAAACAAACGTAACAGTAAGGTGACGATTAATTGCAATTGCAATTAGGGTTTCCTGAGAAAGTTATTCAACTCTTCTAACGATAAGCAATTTCTTGTGGAATGTCAATTGCTCAACTGAATACAATGCCATGGTGTTTTTAAAGAATCTCTTCGTTCATGTCAATTGTTCGCTGAAGTAAATTCAATTAGTACTAAACAATGCCACTGAAATGAATTAATACAACCAAGTAAATTAGTACTAAGTAATGCCATGAGTGTTCAACTAAGCACATTCAATTTCCTTCAACGAATCTCTTCGATGAATGCAAATTTAGAGTGGTTTGGTTCAGACAGTTTTCATGTGAACAGTTCTTTTGAAAATGATATCAACTTACGTGATTGTTCGTGTCAGAACGCAACATTGTAGATTTTGAAAAGGAGAATAAGGGAAGTTTCGTGTCAGCACTTGAATAGATTGATGGCGATTTCTAAAAATCGACAGGAAATTCCGGTCTCGCAATGGAAAAATGTATAAATGTATAGTCAATCGAGCATGATTATATCAAATTTTATTGACGAAAAAAAGCGTTTAGCGGTTAACGGAAAGTGCACTGGGACTAGTGTGTTGCGAGGAACGGGGAATTAGGGGTCCCCGTCCCCTTTCCAACATTTTTGAAGGCGACCCTGCTTTGGAGGTCTCCAGCTGCAAAATTTCACCCTCAACTTTTTTATTTCCCCGCATGTACTAGCTGGAAACACTATCTACAAAGCACAGTAAGCGAGTTAACATCCCCATTGCTGACGATAGATAAGCGAATGAGATCAATCATGCTGATGGAATGGACTGAAAGTTCAAAGGAGGCAGATTGTAAGTGGGATATATTGAGAAATTCAACTATTTCTCTGAAAGTGAGCATAATCGCCAGACAACATATATAATTTTCGGAAACTTGAGAATCTGGGAAATCTGATGATATGAAGAAATCACCATGTTGCTGGGCAAATCTGAGAACACCGATGGTTTGAAGATGGTGACCGTGATACTACTAAGCTAATGTACATATTGATCAACAGAGATACACTGCATTGAAATGAGCGCTGCCGAGCAATTGAGATACCTTCAGAAAATCAGCTATTTCTCTAAAAGTAAGCAGAATCGCCCGACAACATATATGATTTTTAGAAAGTAGAGAATCCGGGGAATCTGATAGTGGGAAGAAATCACCATATTGCTGGGCAAACTTGAGAACACCGATAGTTTAAAGATGGTGACTCTGATACGGCTATGCTAATGTACAATATAATTACAGAGATTTTCTTGTCCCAGCCTGCTCCTTTTCTATATTCTTGTTTCATTGCACTCAAATGACTGCAATCGTATTTTAGCCACAACTGACTGCGGTTTATTATCGTTTGTTTGTCGGGCTGCCCGAAATTCGTCTTCAATCATTACAAACGATTCCTTGGAGACTTCTGATGACAATACTCTCGTTAGGTTAGCAAAATCAAAATCAGCACATGCACTTCAGAAGGTGATTTGCTAGTATTGGCTAATGCACACAAACTTAATGCGTTCCTTCAAGAAGTATTGTAGTCGATTGTGGCAAACAAATGATTATGTAAATAAGTGATGAATAATATGCATGATTATGTAAATGATGAATAATATAAAATCAACAGAAAGTTTTTTTTGTTGATTTACTCTGTGATTGCTTTGCCCAATCATTCATCAAAATTCAACTGCTGATCGCTCGTATCGATTGATTGATCATCATCCAGCACCACCAACTCGATCGTTATTCATCATCGATCGTCGTTACAATCGTCCTTGCTGACAATTCATTCGTTTCAATTCTTTCATAACATTTTCTTCATGATGATTGTAAAGCGTGTGCATCATTCACTGACATTTTTCGAAGTTTCTTTTTGGATAAACATTTTGTTTTATGTTGAAGAATGTTATTTTTATTCTCAATGTGAAGTTGTTTTGGTATCATTAAACTTTTCGTTGAAAGGTGTTAGCATTAAACTTCCTTTTCACTCGAGAAGTTTCCTGACTTTACGCTGCGAACACTTTTCACAGGATTCACGCTTGTGGATGATCCACTTACACATCACATTTTTAGTCATCTTAACTATCGCACGTCATTTTTCTGAGTCCGTTTGAAATGAAACTTTTTCCATTGCTCATGGCATTTCCTTTTTACTCCTCTGAGGAGACTCGCGAGATATTGCAATGTTTTATTGGAAGAAGCAATTAGTTTCATGTGTACGAACAGTGACACTCATCAAAGTATTGACTTCAGTTCATCCAATTGTTTTATTAAGCCAAGTCATTATTTGTTGATTCCATTCGTGTTGCATTTCGTTGTCGCCTATGGAAACAACAAATTTTCTCAATTAAGCAAATGCTTAGCTTGTTACACCGCATTCAGAGAGGTTAGCGAAATGTAAGCAGCAAGTTGTTCGGTGTTGTTGTCATTGATTTGCGTTCGTAAATTTGAAAACAAATGCGATTTTTTCGTGGACAAATTGAAATTCTTATTGTTTACTATTTGGATTTTCCTCGTCCGGTTTGTCATTCACTCGATGCTAACGCTTTCTCAATAAGGGGCACTGATTTTGATCGAGTATGTGTATTCCATGAGACGTATTGTTGTTTTCTTGTTAGAATGAATTTCTGCGCATTTTTTAGCCACCTCTCAATCAAGATTTTCGCTCGTTCATCTTGCCTATGAACAATTTTTTGTGTGGAACCACTTATTTTATGATATTTCTTTTCGAGTTACTATGTTCTTGTCAACTATTCAATAGCAAATACTCCTACAGAAAGACAACTGAATTAAACGCGTAATGTAATTACTATCATTCGAAACTGTTTTCATTCGGTTCATCATTCTACCACTCAATAACGTTCCGTCAACAAAATTTTAGAATTGAATTCCGTTTTTTGGCTCGTCTTCGGAACCTGTATTTGGACGTGCTTACAATATTTGTGGATCAAAAACCACCTTACAATCGTTTTTGTTGGCTTGTTTCAATTTGGTCACAGTCAACCTGAACTGTTCCATGAGTAGGTTCCATCTTCAGCGCATTCCCATCAAATTACGATAGCTCGATGCAACAGATTATTTTTGGATCATATGGGACAATGATGTGTTTAGGTAGTTTTCTCGATAAGATAGTTCGTCTTAATCATGTGCGTTCGAAGCATTTTGAATTTCTTCTCAATTCCTACTAGAGTTTACCTTTACAAACATGAATAGTTCAACTGTTTGTTTAGGTTCGATGTACTGAACTGCGCAGTTTTTTCTTTCTGTTAAAAGGTGCATTTTTGTTGAACAACTCTAAATGAAATAAACTCTAAATGTCTGAAAAAATCGCAAGGTGAATCGCAAGGAGAAATAACTTCACATTACTGAATTACGATCGAATTGACAGAATTTGTAAAGTATTCGTTGACATTCTTATTGAATCAGATGGTAAACTCAGTTACATACCCATGATATCGTGTTGATGTTTTTGTGCGTTTGACAACAGATTATACGTATTATTCTGTTTCGCGCTCCGCATCGTACCGTCGTTGTCATGATGAAAACATCCGCCCAAAAGTGAACATGTATCAAAATCAAACAAACCAGTCTTCGATCAAGCTATTCATTCGTCCACCCATTCATATGCTTGAATACCTTCCCGATCATGTGTTTTGCGAAAATTTTTCATTGTTTTGATATGTTCCTAGATAATAGCCATCATGACAGTTCACATGTCAGTCAATATGTGAATTATGTGTACACAGATTTATGAATGAAGTGTAAAACTAGGCATCTTTCGAAGCTTGTTTTGGTGAGTGTGCCGTAACTGATTATGATTGATTATATAATAGCTCGTTTGGCAATCGTTTGATAATAGCTATAATTTGATAATAGCTCTTATCAGCTGTAATCAGTGCTTGGCGCTTCTTGATCACTTTCGATTTCAAATTCAAGGAGAGAATATGCGTATTGTATTCGTGCTATTGTTCACATTGAATGGCTTCGTGTTAGGCAAAGAATGGACGGCAAGCAATATGCCAGATCCGCGGGATAAAAGCGGCTACAAGAAGTGTAACATGAAGTCGTTGAGCAAGGTGTGCGATCCAGACGAGGTATGGCCAAATATCCTGGACAATCTTTGAGATTCCTTCGGGCATTAGATGAATTCAATCCTGAAATCGTGATCTGATTTGTTGACTACTCCTCATCCCAGTACCATAAAGTTTGAGTGAGTCTTGCTATGCAAAACCATTTCACTATGGCGTTGAGCAAGATGTAAACACACATTTCTACACGTTTCAAGCAGTATATGCTTGGAATGTTGGTTCACTCTTATTTCCAACAATGTTGTGGCCCTTTTCTCCGTTTATGAATATTAAGCAAAATTTGTGCTTGTTTCATAAAATGCCCAAGCTGGCCTAATGTTCATCCGATTCAGGTGCTATCATCAACGGATCGTTATCGTATCAACCACGAAGTGAATCAATTAGCTCAACGCACAACGCATTCGGGTGGAAACTTCTGTCAAACCAAAGGAATTGAGTCCATTTTAGTGGCTGTGCAATCGGTAAGCAATCCTAAATGCATAAATTCAGTTCATGTGCACAAATGAATTTCTCTCCTTCATTTTTTCCCCATATCTGCGGAATAAAAAATCACAAGCGACATCAGAACACAAACACAACTGCTGCCTCATTGGTAATGCAATCTCTTCCACTAGATTAGTCCGTCTTCATCTTCATTCGGTGCATAAGATCGCCATTTTGAGTGGAAACTCATCAATAATTCAAAGCATGTTGTTTGAAAATGTGGAGGAAATCTTTATGGAGCAACAAAAATGTTTTGCTTCGATCGGACAATAATAGCCACTGTAAATCGAAAGCATAGCTAGGGAACCACATAGAAAGTTATGTGAGGAAACTGTTCAGTAATCAAGCTACCATTGTTCTCTCGACTCGGATTCGTCAGTGTGGAATATCTTTCGAGATTACAATCCCAGGTCACTAATATCAAGTTCACTATGCAAAAATGACAGATAAAAGCCGATAAATATCTGTCGAAAGCTGATTCATATCGTGTGGAGAAAGGCTGATGCGTTGAGCAGACTTGAACATTTTTCAGGGATCTCAAAAACTGGCGAACAACCTGGCTAAACAGTGGAATCTCGATCAGCAGTGCAAAAAGTCGGTTATTTTCGTGTTGTCGACTCAGGATCATAAATTCTACTATTCGGGTGAAGATAACACTGGATTGAGTTAGTGATTTTTGATGTGATTTCGTTCAGTTTAACTTGTCGATTTTTTTCAAATTCACATTTTTCAATCATCCGAACTGATTTATTCATGGGAACTACGCTGAAAAAATCTTGCTATGGAATCAATTGATTGCTGATGCAAAAATGCTGGAAAATCGCATTTATACCCATGAAATGGACGCGCATATTAAATTCGTTGCCCACTATGAGTAGATTTTTGAGGCGAGCACGCTCACAGCCAGCTTAAGCTGGCCAAGAAAGAAAAAATGCTAATGTTCGACGAAAAATCTTCAAATTGGAACGGTTTAAATAAATTGTGGAATGTGGACAGT